AAAAAAAAAAAAAAAAAAAAAAAAAAAAAAAAAAAATCCTTTCTCCTACTAAGTCGATTTTCTTGGGTACTTGGTAATAGCAATCAAAATCTAACTAACACATCTGGGAAAGGCCCATTAATTGCCAAGTCCTCGTTGCTCAAGCTGGCAACCTCACATGCAAGTCTCTGGCCAAGAAGAGAACACCTGTCACTTGTGCCCTTCATGGAAAGGGGAAGACACTGAAGCAGAATCAGATATCCACTGATCATGTGACAGGCTGATCTTTTCAGTTGGCCTATGTTTACAAAGATTCGAGAGTATTAGACTTCCTTTGAGGAGTTTCGGCTTTCTACCCTACAAAACCTCCTCCAGAGATTTTTTTTGGCCTTTCTAACAATTGTGGTGAAATATATACAACAGAAAACTTGTCCATTTTCACCATTTTAAGTATATATTTCTATGGCATTAAGTATATTCCACATTGTTGTATATTCCAGATGTATTTATTTGTATATTTAATTTGGGTCTGGTATTCTAGTTGAAATGTGGAAGGATTAAAACAACAGGAAGAAATAAATACTATATTTATGATGATTGTACATATATTTATTACATGATTAGGGGCTGATTTAAATGGGATCTCCTAACTGATAATCATTAGGAGGTAAATGTCAATGTCCAAAAGGATGAAGAAGAGGAAAAGTAAGAAAATATGGACAAACAATGAAGGTAAACTTATCTCACAACACAGTACTATTTTATGTATCTGGGGTAAAAGTAAATGTAAATGGTGAGGAATTTTTCTCCATTCTGCCTTCTCAACACTTGGGAGGCTGAGGCAGGGATATCACTGGAATTCAAGGCCAGCCTAAACTACAGAGTAAGACCTTTTCTTAAAACAAACAAAAAGCCCAACAACCAAAAACAAAAAACAAAACCCATTCTGCCTTGTGCTAGGATCAAAATAATTTTTCTGAATTTTGTTGAAGATTGCATAACTTTTAGAAGGTCTCAAACTGAAAACAGTGTAATTTTATGAATTTTAATGATATTGTTGTGGTGGGGGTTATTTTGTTTTTGTATTTTTTTTTTCTGGAGATTGAGCCCAGAGTTACTCTACTATTGAGCTACAACCCCAGCTTATTTTACTTCTTCATTTTGAGATAAGGTCTTGCCAAATTGCTCAGGCTGGCCTCAAACTCACTCCCCTTCTGTCTGTGTGTGCCCCACGACATTTAGCTCTATAGTGTTTTTTTATATTCAAGCAGTGTATACTAAGGAATGCAACCTACGGAAAGGTAGGTAGTAAAAATCTTAGAATTGTTAAGAATTTCACTGGGGGGAGTGGGGACCTGTAGAGGACAGGGTCGGGATGTAAGTCATCAAAATAAGCCCAAGTGATTTACCATAGGCTTGGGCAAGTTTCTCTTTGAAATTTGAAGGATGGTATTCACTTATTCATTCCCAAATATTTATTTAAGCACCTTTTATGTATGTCACCTGGGATACAACAGTAAACACACAGATCCCTTGCTCAAAATTTACATTGTAATTCTAATTATATTCAAGGGCGTTGTAATGCTAAACCGTGGTGCATCCAAGAGTAGGATGAATCACATGAACCAATCTGATCTTCATAAACCACAGCAAAAATCAGCACAGCACATTAAGGTTTCTGTTCTTAGATGCTAAGTCCTCTTAGTTCCAGAGGGCAGTGCCAGTGGGCTAAGAAGAGATTTCTTCATCTAAAATATACAGACTTGTTGTTCGGATTCGGCAGTTTAGGACTGCAACTCCAAATTGCTCCTGTGGCACAGAATTACCCCTAAGTAAGAAGTGAAGAGGATTACAGGAGAAAAACCACTCCATCAGAACCCGAATATTGAACAGCAAGCCCTGGCCTAGAGGAAAGTGGTAGTGACTACAATTCCCATAAGCCCTCACGACCCAACCCTTTCTACTCCTATTGTTGAGAAAAGGTGGGGGGGGCTAGGGCGCACTCTTGTTGCGTCATCAGCGTGCACCACCCGGGTAACGGCTAGGCTGCGAAAGCATGGCTACTGCTGCTACTGCTATACTGTCGCAGTCTTTGAAAACAGACATAGCCCCAGTCTCTGAAACTTCAGAAACAGCCGCAACAATGGCTAGGACGTCTGCAGGAACAGCTGCGGTCGCGGCAGTTATGGCCGCCTCGAGAACCGGATCCGAAACCAGGGTCTCCAAGGCCGCTTTGGCTACTAAGCTGCTGTCCCTCAGTGGCGTGTTCGCGGTGCACAAACCCAAAGGGCCCACTTCAGCCGAGCTGCTGAATCGGTTGAAGGAGAAACTGCTGGCAGGTACTGCAGCCCGGGTGGGGACCTTTTTGAGTTGACAGCCTAGCAGTTTCTGCAGGCTTTACTAGTAAAATTATTTAGGTTATCCAAGGTTCTCCAGAGTTTTGTCCTGTCCTGTCTTGCCATTAAACCAATATAGGAACTTTTTTCTTACCTTGCTGTGTATCTGCTGACAAGCTTTATAATTTTTAGAAATGCAAAACTGCATTATTCTGATGGGAATTTGGTAATTGTAATGGTCACAATACAAAATTAAATATTTATTGGCAAATATGTACATTCTTAAATAGCTTTAATTCCAGTGTTACACATGCTCATTCTTACCTAATATTGTGTAAGAATGGATCATATAGGAAATGTTGAAGCAAGGAATTGCATTAAGGGTAAACATTAGTGTCTTTAAAGACGCCACCCTCCCCCGCCATAGGCTTGCTGTTTTTAACTTTGCCTATTTGTTAAACTATGGCGCTTTTTTTTTTTTTTTTTAATCCTCAAGGTAATTACTACCATTCTTTTCCTCAGACAAGTTTCTGACAGAATCAAAGCCATACCCTGGCCTTCTGGTTAATCAGCTTCCAAGATTTCTGTTGAAACATGGTTAAAGTAGATTGTTTCAAAGCTATTGCTAGGCCATTTTGTGGAAATCCCTCCTTATGGTGTTGGAATTCTTGTAACCCTAGTGATTGACCTATTCTATGTTTGTGTTAGCCAGACTAGGGCTTCCCAAATGTCATTCTAACCAGCTGTCAGAATTACCTGGGAAATGGGCTGGGGATTTAGCTCAGTGGTTCTGCTGCCTGCCTCACAAGCCCATGGTCTGGAGAGAACTACCTGGGGAAGTTCTTAAAGATACTGATATTCTTGATAAATACTAATTAAAGCCATGGTCAGTGGTGGCAACCTTTAATACCATTCTTTGTCTTTTCTTATGTTGATTCCTGCCATACTGTAATCCCCACTCTTCTTGTATGTTTAAATCTTTCAAGGCTCCAAACATTCCAGAGACCATGAATAGTTGGTTCAGTAGAGTGAATTTTTGAAGCCTTCATACTCTAAGGAGTACCAAGCTGAAAATACAAAGAATTCCCCAAAAGATTCCAATAAATTCATAAGTGAGACATCCATGATGTATTACAACTGAAAGGGGAAGGTTTGAAACTTAATTCTAACCTTAGAAGTTTATGTCAAAAGCCATGCTTTAGAGTTCCAAAGTACCCAATTTTGTCTTTAAGACAGGAATATAAGAGAAGCCAGGACTGTATCTTCTTTTTTAATCCAAATGCTTCAGAGTTTAAGAGGTAACTTAACTGTTACCTATTTCCCAGATAAGTTTTTGTAGAAATTAGCTTCTTTGACATATTGAGAGTTTTTATTAAGAGAGGAGGACAAGTAAACTTAGTTTGAGAAGCCAGTATACTTAGAAGTAGCTCTGTGTGAGATGTATTCCCAACAGAGGTAGGCTGGAGGTGCCAGTGTAGAACACTAGGAAAATATTTAGAAATGGAAAATTGAGGACTTTTTAATCTAGCTGTCTATATAAAAATTAACTTCTTTTCATTATGCTTTAGCAGCTCACCACCACCAGGAATTTTCTAGAGTTTTTGTGGGTTAGCTTAGATATTTATCCATGATCAAAATTTTTTTGTTTTTCTTTTTTTAGAAGATACATTGTCATTTCTAGACCACTAATTTTGGAATCGTTTTTTTTTTTTTTAAATTTAGGGGATGTATATATATTTTAAAATCCATGGTCGTAGACTTATTATATTGTTTGTACAATACCTTTTGGTTTGGATATGTCATATTTATGGAGATTCTACTTTATCTGTCTTGGTAATTATCTTTTTTTCATCCTGATTATTCTCATAGAAGCTGGAATGCCTTCTTCAGAATGGTCCAAGAGGAAAAAACAGACTTTGAAAATTGGGCATGGAGGGACTCTAGACAGCGCAGCTGGAGGTGTTCTGGGTAAGAGACATAAAGGAAATTTAGCAGTATTGTCCCTTAATGTCAGATCAGTTGGGTACAGATTAAATTGAATAAAGCCATGTCATTTTCAGTTTACCTTGGAATGTTTTAGCTCTACTGAATTTACAGTGCTATCTTCTAATGAAGCCCTAAAACAGAATATACAAGGCCATTAGAAGTAGCAACTGTTATGTGTGGATGGGACTTTAAGGAAAGGTTTGTATCTGTGCAGAAAACAGTTAATAATATAGAAGGCCTGAAATTGCTTGCTTTAGTAAGGTCTGCTTACAAGGCTTGCCTTTGGCTGGTATCTGTGAACGTGGATTTTAGGAGTACTCCTGCTCTTTCCTATCTTACAGAATTGATTTGCTGTGCCTTGACTGTTTGCATACCTACTTTCCTTCTAAAATTTGGAATTTTGCCTCACCACATAGGCAGAGGGTGTCTGAGTGACCCAACTCTTCCTTTATCCCCCAATAGACTTTGGGCACTGAGTTTGCTGATGAGCTTCTCCAGGAGAAACATTGCACACATTACTGCTTTCTTCATTGTTTAGCGAGGAACAGGCTTAAGTGTTCCACCTCATGGGAGGGACAGAAGCCTGTACATGGATTTCTCCATTGTCTTTTTCTCTGGTGACCCAGTGGTGAGTCTTTACTACATTAATAATAAATCTTAGGGTCATGGATTTAGCTCAGTGGTTCTGCCACCTGCCTTTGCAAGTGCAAGGACCCGAGTTTGATCCCCGGTACCAATAATAATAATAATTATTATTATTATATAATTATAATAAATTTTAGCTATTTATGAACACTTGAGTGTGGGATGGTCATGGAAACTACTGAGAAGGTATAGAGCTCTTCTCTCCTTATAGCTAATCAAATTTTTGAGATCAGCTGTATTGAGAAAGTGAATCTAATAATTCTTGAGAAAAGTTTTCTTTTGGAACCTATTAGTTGACCATTTCATTGCTTATGGAAGAAAAACTGACAGACTTGATTGAGGGAAGAAAAATTATGTATCTGTTTTTATTCTGAAGTCTTTATGGTCTGCTGAGGTTTTTCTACAGAGGCTAGGGTGTGTTTCTGAATTTTTACTGTAACTACGTCCATAGTCACAGAAATATATAGATTGGGATTTCCGTGTCATCTTTGTTCCTACAGATCAGAAACAAATTTTGTGGAACAATGCTTACTTTTTTTACATGCTCTGGTATATTACATTTTATTCAATTTCATTTTATAATTTTCCGTGTCATCTTTGTTCCTACAGATCAGAAACAAATTTTGTGGAACAATGCTTACTTTTTTACATGCTCTGGTATATTACATTTTATTCAATTTCATTTTATAGAAGTGTTGATTGTAAATCATGATTTCATGATGCCCTAATGGGTTATGACTCATAGTTTAAAAAATACTGTGGTATGGTCGTGAATCCATATTATTTCAACTAAAATCAGATACAAACAACAACAAACCCTAAACTATACAAAGGAAATAAGTACTTGTTTTTTTTAAAAAAAAGAGGAATAAAATTGGTGGAGAACATAATTTCAAGAAAACTAGAAATAATGTATGAATATGTATTTCCTGAAATTACAGGTTTTGTTTAATTCATGTTGGCAAAAATACCTTTATTGCGGTAAAATAGAAGAAATTACAAGGGAAGTGATTTTCCTACATTAGAGAACTTGGAATTCTGACAACTAAAAACTACTCTTTCTTTTACTAACAATGACAGGCTAGGGCATTCATTAGTTATATATTTAAATACTATTGTAACCTGTAAGGTAGGTGTTGTTATCCTCATTCTAAAGAAGAAATAAAGACCCAGAGAGATTAAGTAGCATGCCTATAGCCGTAGAATTAAGCAAGTGGCAAAATCAGGATTTCAGTGCAGATCTGCTCAGTCCCAAAGCCTCTGCCCTACTGTGGGAAGGTTGATATTTGGTACTCCTGCCCTTGTTCCCTTTGCCCACTGCAGGAATTACCAATCAATCACAGCATTCTTAGCATTAGTTCTATAAGTGGCTTCATGATTCTCCTCAGCGTAGCACTTCAGGTAGCCTCTACCAGTTGATTATAGTTGGTTCTTGAATTTGTTCTAACCATTTGTTCTACTCTTTTCTAAGACACAGCACCATAAATGCAAGAGAGCATAAGATCTACTGCTTATTTATGAACAGCCTGATTATATTAATTTCTTGTGGTTGGTCCTTATTGGCATGCAGTGATTTGAGGCAATAAATGGAATAGTTTATTTCTACCCTCCAACAAGGGATCTTGTTGAAGCTTACATTTTAGTATTATAAAGGAGCTGAGATTTTTATATGTGAAAATCATATTGGAAATAAATTTGCTTTTGGAGGCTTGTTTTATCACAGGGACCTTTGCTCATATGTCAAATTTATTAACTTTTCTTCTGTGTGGTTTCCAATGAGAAATAATGTTTTAAAAGTTGAAATTATTTAGGCACAAAATAAGGGATATTTGTCTAAATTAGCAACTCTAGAAACTTATGAGTTGATTTTATTTTTTCTGTGTTTTTTTTTTTTGGAACCAGGGATCGAACTCAGGCCCTTGTGGGAGAGGCGGTGGAACCACTGAGCCAAATCCCCAGCTCAAGTTGATTTTATTTTTATTGTATTTATTTTATAGTAAAACACTAGACTCTCATCATATCCATGTTTGTGTATTGGTTACTGACCACTGCACACATACTTACTAACTGTACACATCCTGGGAAAAATCCCATAACTTCTCTGAATCTCATTCTGTTCCTTAAGCAGGTACTATCTGCCTTAACTCTGAAAGGCTTATCAGAATCTTACATTTTACTTTGTGAAGTGCTTTCTAAAAGTAGTGGTAGTCATCTTGCAAAAATGGACTTGTGTGAAAAAGTATAAATTTCTACATTTTAGGCTGTTTTTTTCTTTGTAATTTTTTTTAGCTTCTTTGTAATATTAAATAGTGCAGATTTAAGAATTTAGCTATTTAAGAATATAATCTGCACACCCATGTTTATAGCTGCACAGTTTGTAATAGCTATAATTTGGAAGCTGCTCATTTGCCCATCAATTGGAGACTGGATAAAGAAGATGTGGTTTTTCTGTAAAATAGAATACTGCTCAGCCAGAAAGAATGAGAAATTAGAGTCATTCATAGGAAAATGGATGCATATGAGGGTATACTCTTAAGTGGAATAAATAAGTCACACATGTGTAAATACCGAATAGTTTCTCTGATATGAAAAACTGTAATTGTACATAATAAGATCCTAATGATATAACTGACAATGTGAAATAGGAAGAAAAGGCCTAAAGGTGTAGGGGAAGTGGGAAGGAAATAAGGGAAAAGAAAAAAATATGAGAAAATGAAAAAATAGAAATAAAGTATTTGTAAATAGGGAAGGGAGTGCAGGAGTAAGGGGAAAAAATAAGAACCAAGACCTGTCATGTAAAGGAACCAGATCCCAATGATGAATGTAACTGTATTGTATACCTAAAATGTACCAATAAACTCAATGAGGAAAAAAACTAAATAAATTATGGAAAAAAAATATAATCTGAATTCAGGTTTATTATTCTGTACTATAACAGAATTACAAGAGTGCTTGCAAAATGTTTTAAAATGTGGTAGGTAAAGTAATGCCCCCCTAAAATGTTCACATCCTCATCTCCAGAGTCTGAATACATTAGGTGACATCTGAAGGAGGAATTAAGACTGTAGATAAAATCAATGCTGCTGGTCAGCTGACAAGGAGATTTCCTAGAATTTTTAGGTGGGCCCAGTTGATCATAAGAGTATTTAAAGTAGAAGTAGCAAGCAGAAGAGAGAGGTGTAGCAATGGAAACAGAAGTGTCAGTGATGTTATTGCTAACTTTGAGAAGAGAAAGGGATTGCATGTCAAAGAAAGTGAATTGAAATCAAAAGTGATCAAAGATCTAAACATTAAAACAGAAACATTAAACCTACTGGAAGATAAAATAGGCAAAATGCTGGAAGACGTAGGTAGAGAAAAAGATTTTCTGAACAGAATCTCAACTATACAAGAAATAACAGCAAGAATCAAACAAATGAGATTATACCAACCTAAAAAGCTTCTGTACAGCAAAAGAATCAGATAGAAGACTAATATCTAGGATATTCAAAGAATTTTTTTAAAAATCGCTTAAAATTAAAGACCCAGTCAAGAAAAGGGCAAAAAAAATGAAAAGACACTTCGCAGAGGAAGAAATACAAGTAACCAACAAATATATGAAAAAAATGCTCAACATCTCTGGCCATTAGAAATGTGAGTTAGAACAATTCTAGGATTCCATCTTATTCTGGAAAGAATGGCAATCATTAAGAAATCAAACAATAACAAATGCTGTGTGGCTGTGGTGAAAAGGAATCCTCCTTCATTGTTGGAATGCAAACTAGTACAACCATTGTGGAAATCAGCATGAAGATTTCTCAAAGAACCAAAATTAGAAATTCTATATGACCCAGCTATCCCACTGCTAGGTACCTTTCCCAGAAAGCTTAAGAGATCATACTACAGTGATAACATGTATACCAGTAGTATATAGTATATATTTTAGCATATAGTAGCTAGCTATAGTAGCACAACTGATAGCATCTGAATCTTAAAGGATGGATAGAAGGTGTTATGGCTTGTGTCTACATGTCTCCCCCAAATGCACTCGTGTGCTCGTAGGTGAGAGTTTTGGGAGGTGGCTGGATCTAGGGTGTGTGATTACTAAACCAGTCCAGTGATTGGTCTAGTATAGTTCTGGATGTGGATAATGGGAAGGCCCATCCTGGGTGTTGGTAGTACCTCCTGAAAGGCTGGTAGCCTGGAAGGAAAAAGGGGAGCAGCTTCTGCTGCTGCTGCTTGCTTGCTTGCTGCTTTGCTGTCTCCTGCCTGCTTGCCATGGACTCTTTCTTCTCTGCCAGGCCACCCTGCCTTTGAGCCAGCGGATTATGGACTGAAACCACTACAAACTCAGCCAAAATAAACCATTCCTCCTTTAACTTTGGGTGTTAGGCATTCTGTCTCAGCAATGAGAAAAATAACTAAGACGGGACAAGGGGATGGATCTCTTGCAAGGGAATAAGAGGAGGATGAGAAAAAGGGGAAGGGGAAATAAGTAGAAAAAAAGATATGCCATGTAGAGGAACCTAATAACATCAATTAATAGAAACATATACCGTAACATGAGCTAAGAGTAATACCAACAAGAATGAAAAATGAATAGGGAAATTAAAGGAGAGAGGTGGTAAGGAAAAGGAAGTGGGTTAAAAAAATAAACTGGGGGCCGGGGAGTTAGCTCAGTGGTTCTGCCATCTGCCTCACGAACACAAGGTCTTGAGTTCGATCTCTGGTAT